AGGGACGCCCGTCAGCCTCACGAGCAGGGGTTGGAGTGAAGGATGGTGGGCTGGACATCCAACACGGATAGGGGGCCTCGCAGCAGACGCCTTGCGAATGCAGGGTGACTGCGAAGGATACTGTTGGAGCCAGGCTTCGATTGTCCGGCATTTGGGTCGCGAAGAGATGGGAGAAGGAAATTTTGGTTTTCCGATTGGGTTGCTGGTCGGTAGCCAAAGGGCTCGTTATTGACGTGGGTTGAGGTGCTGCTCATTCGGCGAGGTGTCTTTTGAGGCAACTTGGTCGGGTTGACGGAGAGAAACTGAGAGAGAGAGGGCATGGTGTGACGGGGTGTGATGAACTGCAGAGTTTCAACAAGGGCCCGTCATGGGATAATTATCACATTGCCTCAAGGCTTTATCTCTTTGACTTTTGAGAAGCGTGGCGATAAGAACTTCATAGTATCCGTACTACAAATTGGTATCTCAACCTCGACATGTAATGGATTCGGTCTGAGCACTTTCCGCAAAACGAATGTAACATCGATGTCAATGAGATTTGAGTTGAATTTAAGAAATTTTCATGCATTTGTGCTCCATTCTCCTTACAGTCTGCATCTCGCTTCGGAGACCCTTAGCGAATTACTCATGGGATCTAATGAAAAGACTCAGCTCATAACTGCACTGCAAGAGTTGAGAGAGCGAACCTGTCTCTTTTCTTGGCTTCTGAGTTGGTGGTGGCTGTGGCTGTGGCTATGAGTCGGTCAGCTGTGCATGCATCAAATTGAGGTGCAGCCAATGGAGGTCGCTGATATTGAAGAATCTGCCTGGTCGTTTGCCTAGATTTCTTGGGTTGAACGTCTGATATGACGTTAAATTACCTCACTCCCATGAACGATCCGGTAGAAAATCGAGATTGTAGAGACTCAGGTCCCTCAAAACTTCGACCATGGACCCCGTGACAGCCGTGGCACTCGCAGGCAACTTGCTACAATTTACCCAATTCGTTGTGGGCCTTTTCAATGATGCCCGAAAACTACATGCATCCGCCACAGGGACCAGTAGCAACAATAACCACATTCAAGATGTTTGCGGGATGCTCATCGACTTCGATGGGAATTTTCAGCAACCCCAGTCGGCTTCGTCGACGAACACCAGCAAAGCTACATCTAGACATGGAAAACAGCTTGCCGAGTTCGCGAACACCTGCAAACAAGACTCCGAAGTCCTTCTTGGAAAGATGAACAAGCTGAAGGTCATTGGGGCAAAGGGCCCAAAGCACTGGAGCAGCTTTCGAGCTGCCCTTTCCGAAGTCTGGCAATCGAGCGAAATTGAGGAATACAGGACGCGGATTGCCGATCGTCAACGCGCGATGACTCTCTTGCTGTGCGCAGCATCAAAGTAAGTATACCCTGACCTACATCATTAAGTGACGTTTTACTCAGCTTGACCATAGCGAAAGCATATCGGCTCTTCAAGATGATGTTCAACGTCTTGGTAGAGGGATCTGGACGCTTCACAACGATTCTAGATTGGGCTCCATGATTGAAGAAATTAGGAAGCTCGGAAACTACATTCGGCAGCAGGACCCGAAGACAACTACATCGGTAGATATCGACACAATCTGCGCAAGTGTCTCAAAGATGTCGCTTGAAACCCAGGTCTTCGAGAGGGAAGCCCAAGTGCTAGCCAAGCTCAACTATATGGACCGGACAAGCAGATATGAGAGGATACCTGAAGCTCATTTTACAACCTTCAAGTGGAGCTTGAGAAAAACAGAGCAGACTGGGGTCATGTATAGCAAGCTGCGACATTGGCTCAGGGGTAAAGACACACTCTTTTGGGTCTCTGGAAAGCCCGGATCAGGAAAGTCGACCTTTATGAAACACATCGCGGACAACAAAGATACGAAGGAGTGCCTGAGGACATGGGCCGGAACGCGAAAACTCCTTGTCGTCAGCCACTACTTTACGATATACGGCACGCCGATTCAACGGTCACTGGAAGGCCTTTTGCGATCTCTCCTATTCGGTGTATTAGTAAGGAAGCCGGCGCTCATTTCAAAGATTATACCTGACGGCTGGGGAACGTCCTCGGCAGCACCACGTCAATCTGAATTTGAAACCTTTCTCAGACTCCTTGGGGTTCATCTCGATGAGCTATCATGCAAGATCATCTTCTTCATAGACGGCTTGGATGAATTCGAAGGCGACCACATCGATGTCTGCGAAACGCTCAAAGAACTATCTCGAAGCCCTTCTATAAAAATGTGCGTCTCGAGCAGACCGTGGAACGTCTTCGAAGACGCGCTCGGGGAAAAGTCGGACTCGAAGCTCTATATGCATGAGCTTACCTACAACGACATTCTCGACTATACGGCAAACCGTCTCCAGGCGCATCCTAGGTGGAAGGTTCTTCTGGAAGAGTTCAGTTTCGTTTCATCAATGTCCCTCATCGAGGAGGTTGCATTTAAGTCCAAGGGTGTCTTTCTCTGGGTCACGCTCGTAGTCCGGCTGCTACGAGAGGGCCTTACAAACGACGACAGCCTATCAGATCTACAGAGACGCTTGGAAATCTTTCCAGAGGATCTTCAAGAGTTTTTCAGGCATATAATAAAAAGCGTGGACCCATTCTATAATGAGAAGATGGCCGGGACGCTGTCGCTCGCGCTTCAAGCACAGGGACCTCTGCGCATAGAGATCTTCTCCCTCCATGATTTCGAGTACGGCAACGAGAACTACGCATTCAAAGACATCGCAGATACAAAGCTCATGCCCACAAATCCCGAGGTTCTCGAGAAGATCTACCGCTCAGTTTCACGACGTATCAACGGGCGTTGTAAAGGCCTTTTGGAACGCAACGGCGGCCGCATGGAGTTTCTTCACAGAACCGTCTACGACTTTCTCCGCACTGGCGAAATGGATGATTTCCTGAGAGAACACACGAAGAATAGCCACTGCTTTAGTTTGTCGCTATTCAAGGCATTTGTGGCGTGGATCAAAACATCAACCTTTGCTAGCGAAACTTCGTCGCCGTCCAAACATCCCGCAACGGAAGCTTCTAGTTTTACTCAGAGATTGAAGCAAGGTCTTTTATACGCGCGTCTTGCCGAAATGCAAGGCGAAAGCTCGGCAGCACTTACGGCAGCGCTTTTAGACAATCTGGAAAGTAGCTTGCCTCGGATGCTGTCACGGGGACAGGTCAAAATGATTGATCCCTCCCTCGTAACTGGTATTTTTCGCTATTGCGTTTTGGAAGTCGGGGTTCTAGGTTACGTTAAAAGGAAGCTTTCAGTAAGCCACGAATATTTCAAGGGCTCCTACGCGAGCCGAATCGAGTCTCCCCTTTACCCGATACTCGAACCGTCCTCGCCCTACGCACTGGCCAAGACAGACCAGTGCTGGATCCTCAAGAAGCTGCTAGAGAGCGGCCATAGCCCCAACATCCTTGACATGGGCCTACATGCACGATACTGCTTTCAAAGTCCTTGGCAATTTTTGTTTTGTCGTCGCAGAGAAGAGGTTAAACCCACCGTTGAGCCGGATACGCAATGGTGGCAGAAGGATGACGACTTGCTCGCCTTGGCAGAAAATCGCATTCTACTTACGCTGCTCGAACACGGAGCGAATCCAGTCGCAACGGCCATCGAGTTCGACGAGAATGAAAGATTGGAGATGCCGATTTGGCTCAGGTTCTTTATCACGATACGCCGTGTGCACCTGCTCAAACAACCAACAGTGTACGAGGAGACTCTATTTGCAATGCTGAATGATTTAGAGACGCTCGAAAATATCACTGTGGCCAGAGAGTCGCACTCAGAAACCCTCGGAGGAATTATGGGGCAAGAGAAGGTCTACTTTTGGGACGTGTGCCAGTCTTGGGCCAAGTTCTTACTGCCTACGACGACAGGTTCTTGCGGCGATGAGTTCCTTACAAGAGTTTTTGCGCGCGTCCTGGCTAAGATTCCCGCTGGACACGAGTCGTTTAGAAAGGCTGAAGCCTGGTGCAAGACGGTATTATCAGCCAATGCTGCTGACGAGCTTGAAAGTGCCGTCAGCTCCATGCGATCAGGAACTCATCTTCACCAATCAAGGAAGCGAGGCGCTGTGGAGGAGCAAGAAAACCCAAGGAACACGAAAAGGACTAGGAGGAGAAGGAGACAAAAGCAGTGAGATAGCCAAGGCCTAGGGGATCGCAGAACCGTCGAAGACAGCAACGTTTAAACAGCCAATGGCGTTTGAGGAACTAAAACAATAGCATGAGTGGCCTCGGAGCTCTTGGTTGACTGTAGCAACCTATCTCGCAACTGACTCTCGTTGCCCAAGACTGTCGATCTCCTTGATCACTCAAGTCTCTGAATTATTCAGATCGCAATATCGTATATGGCTTCCTAATGTCACTCACTAGTTGACAGCCATGATTCTTGGATAAATGGATAGGGATGGAAGGTCCAGACCGCTGGCACCTGCCTACAAGCATATGATCCATATTCCACCAGGATCTGACGGTATTCTCACCTCAGCTAGAAGGTATATAGGACACAGATGCGAAGGAAGGAGTGTCTCCCCGGTACAGCGCAAGCTTGCTGGGGCCACGTAGCCTGGTGGTTAAACGGGTGATGAATAAACTGGGACGCTGGTTTTTCGTAGGGATAGGGTTCGAACCAACGCCCGAGCTTTTTTGTCAACTATTGACTCTTCTGCTATTGCGCAAGGTATTTTATTTTGGTATAGTGGTGATGTTTTGTGGAGTTGGTATAGTAACGGACTGAGATGCGTTTCGTGTCCCACAGGGTAGCAGTAACCGTGATGTTGTGTTCATCAGATAAACAAAGCCTCCTTCCTCATACGCCGCCACCTCGATGCAGATATTACCGCGTTTTTTGTGCCTGCTTTGCGACGCCGAACCTCACCTTCCCGTTGGATATCATCAGATCTTGAACCCCCCTCCCACCGCCCCTCCGCCTTGTACCAGGAGCCAACATCGTGAAAACCAGAAAACCAAATACAAAAGCCTAGATTGCCGGTATCATAGCCATCCGTTCCTCGAGTCCGAACCAAGCATCCCTTCCACTCTCATTCCATCCTACCTTACCCGGTAGTTCCATTCCCATTCAACCCTCCTGTAACTGTCTCCGTTGACACCTCTCCATCTCCAGTCCACGTCAAATCGTCCATGTTCGCCAACACAGTCCACGGATCAATCCCCATACCCGGCGGAATGGAGTCAAAGTTCATATTCATAAACGAAACCGGATCCGTGCTAGGGGCATACTGCAAGCCCCTTGAGTCCCACGTCGTCGTTGACGCCGATGTCGACGAGGACCCCGCGGCGCCACCGCTCAGCATCGCGTTCTGAATGCTCGTAATATCGATAATCTCATTGACGTTCCCCACCCCAACGCTGCCGCTACCAACGTTACTCTGCGTGGTGCTCCCATCGTCCGGCGAAGACGTGCTACCGCGCACGAGACCAGGCGGCGTATTGTTACTGCTGCTCCCGCCCGTCGACTGCGACGGCGTGCTCTTGTTGAGAACGGACGTCGGCGACGGTTGTCCCGTCGCGGGACTCCGGTGCGGGAGGTTGACTGGGAAAGTAGCCGTTCCTGCTGTTGGTCCAATAATGCCGCTCCCTCGCAGGAGACCCGACCCGAACCCGCCCACGCTGTCAATGCCGGAGGCCACAGGCACCGACGGATAAGCAAAGGCGGCCCCTTGCGCCATGCCCGTCACATCTGGGCTCTTTGTCGATGTAGTCGTCGTCGACTCCGATGTCCGTTTCCGTTTATTCGGCCCCATGTCCCGCGTATCAACGGATGCAGATGAAGACGGCGGCCCCATCCCAATAGGCTGGTCGAATTTCCCGAGCGTTGGCCCGAGCATCGGGTTGGTGCCGCCCATGGAGACGGGGGTATTGCAGCCGCCGTCGTGCTGCACCCTGATCGGGTAGTGCTCGTAGGCGGTGCCCTTCGGGTTGCCGAGCGGCAGTCTGCCGGGCAAAGGCGGCTGGATCTCGGTGTGCTTCGAGATGGACGTCCGCGCGAGCAAGGGAATGTTGGACGACGTCCAGCCAAAGAGGTTCTTGTAGTGTGCCAGGTTGGGCAGGTCGATGACGCCCGACAGGCCGTTGCGCTCAATGTCCATGAAGATTTGCTGGAGAAAGGCCTGCGTGATGATGTGCCGCCGACCAATTGCTTCCATGGCGTTGATGATGAACTTTAGGTTCTGCAGGTCCGCCGTCGAGAAGCCGGTATCCATGTTGCACTTCGCCGAGTACACGTACACCGACGCGGCCGAGTAGAGCGACAGGGCGACCATGGGGCTTTTCTGCAGTGCATGAGCGTTTCCGAAGCCGGGTTCGAGGCGGACGTGGCTTTCACTTACATATCCCGAGTTCATGTGGCTCGTCAACTTGATGATGCTCACCACCTCCTCGGCCGCCGTCCGCAGCCGTAGTTCTGAGGCGGCCTTGAGCGGCTCGGGGAGCTTGTTCCGCTCGATCCTGTCAATTGCGGCGTGGTGGAGGCATATCACCGAGGCGTGTAGGTTGAGGTTCGTGTGGACGGACGTGGGGTCGCGCATGCTCTGCGGCAGGCGGAAGCGCTCCGGCAAGAACATGAAGGCGCTCGAGAGCATGTTGTCAATGTCCCTGTGCCGCTTCCAGAACTCGCCGTACTCGACGTCCGCGGGCCTGTCGTTGGGCCGCTCCCAGTGCACGTGCTTCAGGAGCATGTTGAAGATGTAGCACATGATGACAGCGCCCGCGAAGGTCGAGTACGAGGCGCCTTGAAAGGCTTCTGGTAGGGTTGATGTTTCTTCCTCGCGGGCCGAGTTGAAGGCCTCTTCGGACGAGGGAAGATGTGTGGTGATCTACCTGTGGTCAGTATACAGAAAAGAAAAAGGGGCCAGACATGCAGGGAATCATACTTCGTTGGGGTCAATTAGAGTAGGCCACCCAGTCGCAATACTCGCGTGGCAGTCGATACAGTAAGCGCCCCAAAACGTCCTTCTCCGCTCTTCAAGGTCAACCCACGACGTGGGCGGCGCAAGGGTCGGCGCCATCTCCTGCCCGTCGCCGTCGATGCGGTGAAGACCCATCATTTCCACGAGTCGTACGCACTTTGCGGAGCTCATAGCCGCTCTCGTGAAGAAGAGAGACCTCGCTTCGTCCGTCGCGATGAGGGCCCACGCTTGCGCGTGTTGGATAGTGAGGAAGTGCTCGCCGAATCCCTAACGCATTAGTGTGAGCGTCAGTGAGTTCTTTCCAGAGCAGCGGGTGAGGGAGAGCTCACCTTCATCTCATCCGAATCCGCGTACTGTCGAGCCCGTTTGTAGAAAATATCATGGTACTGGCTGTACTTCTCATGCCCGTTGGAGGCCATGGACCAGACCGCATACTGCAGACACATGGGCGGACGTTTATGAGGTGCTGAGTAGAACGCCTGGAGATATCGTCCAGGGTGGATGATAGGGATGAAGTGCTGTTGCCTCTCAAAGAAGCTCTTATTTCTGGTTCTCAAGTCAGATGTGCTCGTGCTATTGCGAGAGCAGAAAAGAAAGACAGGGTAAGATGCCAACATACAGCTCCTCCATCATCTCAAAAGGGGGTAGAGCTTCTGAGAGCCCCAGCCCCATGAGTTCCCCCGAGGCGTTGGCAAAGCTTGGTGCTTCAGGTTGAGAGGGCGGTGCCGTCTTGTTCGTGTTCACTCCCGTGTGAAAACCGGAGGTTCCGTCGTCAAAGGTGCCATTCTGCATGGCCATGATCGTCTCAATGTCGACATGGAAGTCGTCCAGCCCAATGTTGATCCGGCTATCTAGGTCACCCTCAGAAGGTAGGGCCCCATTGCCCTTGCTGGCAGCTTCTTTGAGAAGATCCTCTACTTGAGCTGTACGTATTGGTCAGTAACACGCTCCTATGGACGGAACAGTATATGACAGCGCATTACCTAGCCTCTCCTCGAGCTCCTTCACATTCTTCCGCTTGAAGGCGGGCTTCCTTCTGGATTCCGGATACACACATTCTCCCTTGACTTTCAAGCAACGGCTACATGCCGGCTTCACTCGATCACACTTAAGCTTTCGGGACCGGCATGTCACACACGCCAACGGCTCCGAACCGTTGGCGGCGGAGCCCGGAAGGTCCGCTTGTACGCCGTCGTCAGTCTCCATGATGAGCCGCAAAAATTTCCTTCCGAGACCTCGGCAAGCGGGAGGTAGGGAGAGAGTGCCGGGAGTGGGCCTCGGCGGCGCCGGGGGGGTCCAAGACTCAGGACAACTCGGAAGATACGGGAGAGACTCGGACTCGGGTGGGCTGCAGCGTGACGCAAGAGACAATGGGTACGTAATGCGGGTTTTGGAGAAGCACTATTGCGGCGGAAAAGGCCAAAGAGTAACTGACAGTTTCTCTGTGGCCCTTTGCTACACTATTAGGAGCAGGTCTACACCAGGCAGATACGCGCTCGAGTGTGTGTCGGCCCCATCCTTTGCTCAGTCGGACAGTTTCTGCACCGATGTCCGATGTCCGAGATGGATCTAGTGCGTCGTTCTAATTGGTTCTGGAGAGTTCTATGACGAGCCTTCCATGATGACTCATCAGGAGCCCTAGGAGTTGAAGCATTGGCATTCTTACTGCCCAGAGATTGAGCGACCAATTGTGCACGCTGCTCTCCACGTGGATTGTAATTCATGTAGGTATGCCAAGTCTGTTAAACGGCGCAAAATGGATACTAACGACGTCGAGATCTTCGGAGCCGTTGCCGGACACTGTCCGATATTCTCCCGCTCTTCAGCCGATGATTTGTGGAACTCCGCAAACTCCATGCGTGGATGGATTGGCCGACACTCGGCGACCTCTTCCGGTGATCTCATCCCATCCGGCTCCGGCTCGGCCGAGCCATCCGCCTAACCGCTGCCAAGCGCCCTTTTTGGTGGCTCTTGGCCCGGTGATCTTCGCCAGGAACGCTGAGGCCGACCGCGGCACCGCAGCTGCGCAGGCCCACGGACAGCTCGGGGGATGTTCAACGATCGGCGGAGGCTCATCGCCGCCTCCCCTGGATGATCTGGATCCATCGCCAAAGGCCGAAGTTAATGGCGAGCCGACAGCCAAGCTTGTCAGTGTCCCCAGAGCTAAGGTATCAGGTGAAAGTAGCCCACGAAGAAACGTCTGCATTCTTGGTGATGACGAGTTTTTGAGTTTGCGTCGTCAAAAGACTAAAATTCTCCGTGGCGCCTCAGGAACGAATACCCAACGGAATGGACAGAGTTGCTGCACTCTCGGCCCTGGGTCAAGGTGTTCACCGACTGCCATCCCAATTGTGCTGTCATAGCATTCGGCCATAGGGCGAATACCTACCTACAGTGCCTGAGTGCCAGTCTCTCGTGGTCAGTCGCGGTCAGATGGACTGTTCTCACCTTGGTGGGACGATCACGAGTGATCACACCTACTCTCATTCGTCACAGTCGACGGTCTGAAACTCTGTTCCTCGAAGGATGACGGGAGATCCGGCGACTTCATCGGTGAAGCGTGTCGAAGAATGGCAGCCACTGACGATGGCGCCAGCCAGAATCAAGGTGACGGCCAGGCCCTCCAACTACGCCTTGTACGGCATCCTCCTCGTAGTCGCGAGTGTGATTTGCAACGGAGTCGGGAAATTACCAGTCGAAACCGCGCCGAGAGAATTGCCACTAGTCTCACATTCCTGCCGAACTAAAACACGGGCGAGCGTGGAGGATTGACGCGCGCCGAACGCCACGGTCCACTATTCTACCACGCTTCCAACACTGTCCCTCGGTTGAGTATGACACCAAGGGTAGCACCACTGAATGGATTTGAGAAGCCGAACATGCGAGCGAGACATTGAACCTTTTGACAGCTGCACACGGTATCCCGGTCTAGCGCCTCATGGCAAGAGACATTGTTAGACTTGGCCCCAAGGCTGATGATCGTCACGGTCTGGATGTCAGCACAACGCCGGGTGAGAAATTGACACACGACGGCGTTTGGAGATAATCATTCAACGAACGCGGCCAAGAGATTTTGAGGTTGACTACGAACTGCCAAGGATGTCTCTTGCGCAGGCAGCGCTTGCCCGCCACCGCTTGCTGACTGGGATGCTTGGCTTACTCCTCTGCGGGGCCGAAGCGACCACATATCGCGAGTTCTTCGGAAGGTGTTTTGTGTGGCACTAACAGGATTGCTCAAGTGGCTTCTCGGGAGGCCAGTTTAGGAATATGCGGGCGAGAGACTTGACGGGAGATGAAGCCAACTAAGATTGACAAGCCGAACGGACCCGGGGATTTCGGTGTTTGGCGCTGGACTCTTGCTGATCAAGATCGACGGTGGCCCAGGCTTCATGATCTTCCCGCCGCGTGGTCAGCAGACAAGCCGTGATCTTAGTGATTCTCGAAGATTGGCGACATGGATTTGGAAACTTTGTGATGCCCTGTTATCAGGGCTGTGCGTAGGTAAATCCAGCCCCATCAAAGCAAAGTATGAGGATTGCCATGATGGTAGAATGAAAGGGGCTGGAGTGGCCTCTGTTAGGTGGTTTCACCAAAAATATGCTGTTTGGCTTGCTGCCAGTGGGTGGTGCCCTTCAGACTTGTCATCTGAGCGCCCTCGTGTTCTGTGCATCCTTCAAAGCAGCCGCGCATCGGAGGAAGGTCCCAGCCAGTTAGAGTCGAGGAGCCAAACGCATCCGACAAGGGAGCAGACAGGCAACGGGGATCGTCGGCCGTTGCGATTCAGGGCAGCCTTCGTAGAAACACTAACTTTGAGGATGAGAGACGAGCCGACGTGGGTTAGGCTGGGGAAGTATGACCGCCCGGTGCGTTGCTAGTCGAGTGGAACCAAGCGGCTGACGGGTGTGAATCGGGATAGACGTCAGAGCAAACTATGTTTTGAGGAGTGAGGATGGGGGCAGGGACAACTCACAACTTGTGAAGTTAGTTACGCTCCTTGGCTTTCGGCAGGCCAGGCAGGCCATGCTAGACTGGCCTTCTCAGGCCGCAGGGCACACTGGTCTTGAGGAGGCAAAGTGTGATAAGCGATGGGGGGCACACACGCAGCAACGATGTGTTGGAGACTCTGATTGAGTGAGCCAGGCTGCGTGATGTTGGGAAGAGGCCGCTCTAGGCTTACGCCTTGAGTCAAGGTCCGAGTGTGGCTCCATTATCGTGACAAAACATAATGCAAGGTGGAGATGGTATGGCGACGCTCTAGTGTCGAATTATGCAACGAGAAGCCCCCCAAGGCGTCTTCTGGAGTCTGGACGATGCACTGGCAAGCTGGCAGATGGGGCGTCCAATGTCTGGCTGACTGGCACCTCACGTCAGGTCGCATTGCCCTAGGTTGGCGGCAGCCGCAGCCCCAGATCTGTACATACCTTGGGTCGCCATGCGTGACATGCTCGGATTGAGGAAGGAAGCACTCATTCTGAGGCCCTCTGTGATCCAGTGACGAGCTGGTTCTGTGAGCGCAGGTGCAAGACGCCACGTATGTACCAGTTCTTCTGGGTCTTGACCCAGCAAGCAAGGAGCAGTGTCCAGCATGTACCTAGAGAAGGCAGAAGAGGAGGATATCCTGCTCACGTACCCGCACTTCTACATAGGTTGGTACTATGCTACAGTGTTTATGTGGGATACGGATACCTGACTGCTGCTCCGTTTTTGCAGAGATTTTCCTTGCTTGGCTTAAATCCTCGAGTGACTAAGGTAGGTAAGTGTCTCTGAACGGACCATTAGGGCATAGTCCGAGGAAGCACGGATGTCGTCGGGATGGAGGTGATGGCGGAATTGGAACGAGGGCATTGCTTGAATGGTAGGTGGGATATTCGTCTTTCGCGACTAGGTATTCGTGGTTAATTTTGCGTAACAGGCGCGATGTTGTTTCCATTCTCTACCACCTACCGGCGATAGGTAAACCTTGAATCGTAAAAGCCTTGTCAAGGAACAAAATCTCTTGGAGCATGGGTCGGAAAATCCGTAAACTACTACGCGGTAAGTACGCAGTGATTGACAAGTTGAGTGGCATTCAGGCTCGATTGAACCAGGGCCAAACCAGGGCGGCTGCAAGATGGCGACCGGGGGCCGGCGATCATTCGCTGCGGATGATAGGCGGAAATCGGGGCACCGGGATTATGGCAGCCATGACCGGATCATTCCCCACATGGCCCCCGTCCCTCCTTCCCCTACCCTTCCGCTTATAGCCCGGACCTGGAGGCTGGAGGATGGCAGCCCTCCAGTCAGTGCTACACTACATCGCGGATAATGATCGCGATACGGCACTGTTGGCAATGGCGATTGAGCATCGTACATTACTGGAGTAGGAATTCAACGATCCAAGCCTTGCTTATACGACGACAAACCCTTGTTCAATTGATACCTGCTAGGCATCTACCTAGTAGAAGTAGGTAGGAAGAACCCCGGTATGTACTTCCCAACGGTCGTGGTATCTCGATATGTTCTTGCAATACGTATACTCCCATTCTCATTGGTTGGCCCAGCAGAAATGGAGCTGGATCAGAGCTTAGGTTGCCTGGGAGCTTATTTGAGAAAGGTACATTGTAGACCCACCTTCTGTGGCCCAGACTGGAAGTACCTTTTCGGCAAGGCCTGGAAAGGAAGGAAGGAACATGAAGCTCAAGTGGATCCCACGGGACTTCACCAACGTCAGGCAGAGGTACGTATCGTCGCTACTGGTCCGGACCGCCTGACCAGGGTATGCCGTGTACGTACCTTAGGCTTAGTGAGCATGGTGAGGTACGAAGCACTTCGTACCTTAGAGTTAGGTTGTGGAGCACAAGCCATCTTCAATCTCCAACGTGGACGTCAATCCTCCACTCACAATCTTGCATTCCCGTCCATTCTTCATCACGCTTCCTACTACTCTGTATCGGTAGTGTACGGAGTATGCGCTTCTTGGAAATCGACTTGCCGCGAAAGAGAAGAAAGATACCTCACACACATCACAGAGTTACATCCCCAACGGCCTCCTCCACCGGCGAGTCATCGCTGGCATCCCTCTCGTACCAGGCCTTTCCCGGCACGTCAAGGCACTTTTGGTCAATCATCAATGATGTGTGCGGCACCCGCCCCTCGGCCCTCTCTCTGCCCGCTGCACGATGGCTCTGACAGGAGACACCTCGTTCCCGAACCGGCCCAGTACTTTGCTACGTTTCCGAAAACAAAGGGGGCCGAAGAAATTCAAATCATCAAGTGGTACCTGCTCAAGGGATACAATACCCTGACACGTCTTGGCTTACGGATACACAGGAGAAGCATTCCTGGAGAACCCCAGCAGAAGTATTCGAAACATGGGGACCCGGCGACTGTGCTCGACTACTTGTCGCTGCAGAACTTCTCAAAGCGCCAACACGGCCGCGGCTATCCGCTAAGCATCCTCAAGAGGCAAACCAACTTCATGGAACACCTTGAATCCGTCAAAGGA